TCACATAAATAGCACAAAGAAGTGAACACTTCAGTGAACAATCCATAATGCTGAAATGCTGAAATATAAGTCATCCTGACTCATCCTGCGTACATATATATATATATACGCCATATATCCTGCAGAGCGCTGTTCATATATCCTGCGGTCCCGCTGGGAGCCGCTCCGTCCTGCGCGTTCTCTTCGGACGCGGACATGTCAAGGGCTCCTGAGTCCTGCCAGCCTCGGATGCTCGAGCCAAAAAGTTTCCTGATCAATATGCTTTCTATAGAAATGGCCTGGAAAAAGCGTATCCACAAATTGCCTGCTTTCCGTTACATGTCCTTTGCTTTTCTATCCAATATGCTTTTCAAATTTCTGAACACAAGAGGAAAGGGTTACACAAACATGGCACACCCAGGGTCCCGGAGGGAGCCCTTGCCACTAGTCGAAATTTCTTGAAATGAAATGAATGCATTCTCACCCGTGGCTGCAGAAACGCTGCATGTATGCAGCGGTGAGGTGCCCAGTGGCTGTGAGTGGCTGGTCGAATGGCTGCGCGAGTGGCGGCGCGAGTGGCTGCATGAGGCTCGAGCGGCTGCAAGTGGCTGCTCAAGTGGCTGCAAGTGGCTGCGCAAGTGGCTGCGCAAGAGTTTGTGCAAGTGGCTGCCCAAGTGGCTACTCAAGTGGCTGCTCGAGTGGCTGCTCAAGTGGCTGCAAGTGGCTGCTCAAGTGGCTGCAAGTGGCTGCAAGTGGCTGCGCGGCTGCAAGTGGCTGCTCAAGTGGCTGCTCGAGTGGCTGCTCAAGTGGCTGCAAGTGGCTGCTCAAGTGGCTGCAAGTGGCTGCGCGCTCAAGTGGCTGCAAGTGGCTGCAAGTGGCTGATTTTTAGAAATTCAATATGTGCGGTTCCTGCGTGCTCAATGGGAATGTTCCTAAATGGACGAAGGACTTCTTTTCAGGCGCTGTCTGTATCTAAGTTCGTGGGTACCAGCGATGGCCTCCAACCTAATTGAAACTACCAGCAATGGCCTCCAACCAAATAGCGGGCTCTAGAACAGTTCAATCACCTTGGACCTTGGACGACAAATAAAAATATACATTCCGGAAACGCGGGCACCTCAGGTTGAACTTCCCTCAGCGGTTTTGCCCGTTGCGTGAATGTGCACAAAAATGATTAAATCAGCAGTATTCCGTTGGAATGCGCCAAGTTGAGCAGATTGTTGTATGATGTTGTATGTGATTACAGCTATCTTCTTGGGGGGTATCCCTTTACAAGGTGTGGTGCACTATCTCGGCACAACTGTTCCCTCCCTACTAAAGTGATCTACTGTAATTTTTGCGGTTCTCGTGCGAAAAACCTTTGCATTCACTCCATTCCGCAGTGCTTCCAATCTTGCCACTCCGACCCTATCTCCCAAACTCAGGGACTCAAGAGATGATCCACATCTCACCTCGCCCCTACCACTGCTAGATATAGCCAAAAGAATTGGCAGAAAGGCCCCAATTGAAGCGAAGGGCTTGAGAAGAATCGTTTTTTTCATTAATTTTCAACAGAAGCACATGTCACATTGTCTTTTGGCGCCAAGTGCACATCTGCCAGGGAACGCCTCTCTAAACGCCAAGGAACGGCACTGCAGCTCGGCTGCATTTGTCACATGTAGCTTTGCCACATGCTTTCTTTAAACGCATAGCACATAGCTTTGTGAACGCAAAGCTTTCCAGGCGCACAGGGGCTCACAGGTCCCAGGTTGTCCGAAAAGGGGCTTGGAAGTAAGAAGGTGCCTGGCACCAAAATCAGCAAGGCCAGTCGCTGCGATTTCGAGATATTTAAAGTGGGTTAGCAAGGTGCACTAGTAGCTTCTAGCTACTAGTAGCGATGCCCTTTGTTACTAGTAGCGATGCCAGGAGATACTAGTAGCTTCTTGTCTAGATAATTATAGTCTGACTGGGTCTCGGATGCAACATGATACGAACCACTGTTGTGCAGCACAGTCACTTTCGAAGCAGCGCAAGCGGCTTGAGCAGCTTGACTCCAAGCACTTTCCACATTTGGAGTTCCTGCGAACACAAACGAGCACAGGAGGAGAGAAGGGGTAGCGTTCAATGAGTTCAAGACCAAAAGTAAACAAGAAAGCCGTTCTTATTTGCAGAAACATACATAAGAAGGGAAACAAAGAAAGGTCTAATGGTCCAAAGAAATAGTAAAAGAATAAGAACATGTAGAAACAATGTCTAAAGGTAAGAGGAAAAGGGTAGTTTTTAAATGAATCTTTGTAGCACCGCAGGACAGCGCCCTCTCACTGCGAACCCAGCGCTCGGTGTCAACCAGCCTTTCCCAAAATAAGCCTTGGAAGGAAGGGTGGCAGGGTGGAAGGACCTTGGAAGGGTCTCAGAAGGTGGAAGGAGAGCGAAAAATCAGTTCGAGATAGAAATCATGAAAAAGACGTTCCTTCATTCCTTCAGCTCTTTGGATCAAGACATTGGTCAGGACAGTCATGAGTTCTCGATTACCTAACCTGAGCTGAAAGCTTCTCGGACAAGAGTGGATCCTGAAGTTAAGTTGTACACTGATTGTTTCCAACCAGTTGTACTGTGCATGTTTGAAAGGTCTGAAACTTGAATAACAGAGATTGAACTAGAATTCCAATTCTTCTGGCTGCCACAACACAGCATTTACCTTAAACTCGCACGTTTCAGCTGAATGCTAAGATGCTTGTGCCACTCTGGGTGGCATTGCAGTGCCTGTTCAAGGGCGACACTCAAATTGAAGTTTAGAAATGCCGCGCGTCTATGTTTTTATGTAACTGATTGTGTTCTATTTATGTGTTTCTTACTTTAGACCTTGAGACCAAAGACCTTTAGGCCTGTTTCTTCTATCCTTTTGCATGTTTTTTGCCTTTCTCCTCCTTTGTTTCTTCTTTCTGGTTTCCTTCTGTGTATCAAAGGCCGTGGACTGTCCTATACCAGCTACAAGTGGGGGGGAAGGCAGCACGACCTATTGAGTAGAGGGAACGCATTCGTAGAGAAACCGATGTCCCAGTGAGATGCTCGGAGACCCTCACCTTGCCCGGCGCCTTTTATATTTTGTCCACAAGTGGACCTTGAGGCGCGAGGCGCAAAGCAGGGGCAACCAATCATCCCTCGTGACTGATGTTTAGATCTCCTAGACATTACATGCAGCGCATTGCAGTGCTTTGCAGCACCCCTTCAACAAAAACTGAGCACAATCTGAAGGTAAGTTGCATCGGCTGCATGGTGTGATATGAGCTTGGCTCAAAATACCTGAGCATGGCTTCCGCTACACAAGAGCTTTCAGATGAAATATCTGACACTGGCCCAAAGGTATGCCATCTGCTGCATAAACATCCCCCCGGGCTCGTCTCCGCGCGTGTGGTTGCAGACGTTTGCCAGATCTTCATGTGGTCAATGATGATGAATGTCCGCTGTGTCATTGTGTTTCGCATTGATGTGCAAAGTTTGTTGCAGCATGTCGTACATGAAAACAAAAAATCGTTGCTGCGAAACCGTTGTTTCGTACAACAAGGCGCGTTTTTACATCCTCCAGCATCATCATCACAGTCGGTCCGACAACTTCTGACCCAGTTTCGTCAGAAGATCGTCTTTATTCTGGCGCCAGCGCCAACACAGCGAACAAAACTCAAACCTGGTCAAAATCCTGTCCAGATTCATGATTCATGTTGTCACAACGTTGTCTTTAGCCCCCCACACAACCCCCCTTGTGTTTTGTAGGGTTCTAGGTTCATCTAGGCGTGTCTACGCTATACGTGTGTAGCACCTTTTACTTGTATACATCGTTCGTTGTATCTTCATGCTTGTACTTTTGGCTCAAGATTCAGCCCGCACGCACTGTACTACTGCGTGCCATAGAAAAGTCAGAGCTCACTCGACGTTCGCTCTCGACCGCTATCTTTTTGTTCGCGACTAGGTCCAGTACACTTGCTACACTGCCACTTTGGGGAATTCACCCCTGACCCCTCCCCCCACCCCACTGTTTTCTGTTTTTGGGCCGCCGTTGCTTCAACTTGGTTCCTGTTGTTACGCTCCTACGCAATGCATGGACACGCCACAATGTTTGGCTCAAGGTACCCACTGCGTGACAGAAGCCGCTCATTCGCCTTCGCTCCCTCGCTCTTGCGCAGACTGTAAGGTTGTAAGCCAGGGATACTGTGATAACCACGCTGCCACTGCGGGGGATTTGACCCTCACCCGCCCCCTTCTTCCACAGCGTGTGCGCGTGTGTGGCTTCATAATCGAATGCACAGGACATGAACATCATTAGCCCCCACCCAACCGCCCTCCCCGAAACCCCCCCCTGTCCCGATCTGCCATCTTCCAATGCGTGTCGGTGCGCGTGTGTGTGTGTGTAACCCTTGGAATCATAGGGATCCTTTTGGATTTGTTCGGTTGGCTTTTTGTCAGAGCAGGGGCGTCAGGCTCGACACACCTACCTGACGCAACGAAGCTATGGTGTGTCGAGGGAAGCAGTCAGAGACGTCTGACTGTGTACCTGCGGAACTGTTCACAAGCCGTTACTCCAATCTTCCTTTTTGATTCCTTGGTTGTTCATTGGCGCGAGGCTAAGCCAAGAACCTCACGACACGGTCTTGTTTAGGGCTTTGATTCACTTCCTGCAGATGTGCACGAGCCGCCGTCACCCTGTTCGACTCGTTCGCCGTCTTCGACCTTGAGCTTTTGGCCTCACTTCTTCTTACAGACCTCCAGGTTCTTTAGGACTTTCCTGGACCTTTCAGGATTTGGGTTTCTTAGGCCGGCGTGTGGCACCCGCATTCAGTTCAGTACCCTATCCTAAGTGTGTTTGGCCTCGCGCCAACCCGGGACGAGCCCGCAGAGTGCCTCCCGTGACCCGTCGAACGGGTGTACGTCGTTATCTCCCTGCCCGGAGATGTAAGTGCCCACAGCGGGCGAAGGTGGCCTAGGCCGTACGTCCGATGATTTTTGACCCATCTTTGGAATTCCAAGCTGGCTTATGCCTTTACGTGACCGTAGCGGTCAGAGGTGGCAGCCCATGGGCAGGCTGTACGTGGTCGCAGCGACCGAAGTCTGTTCAAGGTTCATTGGAACCTGTCGCGAGCTTAGTCCCCCCTCCTCCCCCTTCCCTTCCCCTTTCTTTCTTTGCTTTCTGGGGTTTTCCTGAATGGAATACTCAGGATCTCCCCTCTCTTTCTTTGGTGTGTCCCTGGACGATTGTTCGTAGCTGGGAACACCTTCCTTTCTCTCCTCTCCCTCTCTCTCCCTCTCTCTTTCTTTCCTTCTCTCTTTCCTCTCTTTACCCTCTTCCTTGGGTGTCCCTGGATGCTTTCGTCATAGCTGGGAACCCTTTTCCTCTCTTCCTTTGGTGTGTCCCTGGACGCGTGTGTCGTAGCTGGGAACACCTTCTTCCCCTTTCCTTTCTTCTCTTTCTTTCTCTCTTCTCTCCCTACCCCTCCCTCCCATCAGGACCTTAGTGTGGGTTGCTACTAGGGGCTCGGCCTTACTACTTGGACGCTACTTTGGTGCTTCTAGGGGTTCCTGGCCTTACTACTAGGCGCAAGAGATGCCTCCCCTCGGGGAGGCATGTGTGTGTGTAACCCTTGGAATCATAGGGATCCTTTTGGATTTGTTCGGTTTGCTTTTTGTCAGAGCAGGGGCGTCAGGCTCGACACACCTACCTGACGCAACGAAGCTATGGTGTGTCGAGGGAAGCAGTCAGAGACGTCTGACTGTGTACCTGCGGAACTGTTCACAAGCCGTTACTCCAATCTTCCTTTTTGATTCCTTGGTTGTTCATTGGCGCGAGGCTAAGCCAAGAACCTCACGACACGGTCTTGTTTAGGGCTTTGATTCACTTCCTGCAGATGTGCACGAGCCGCCGTCACCCTGTTCGACTCGTTCGCCGTCTTCGACCTTGAGCTTTTGGCCTCACTTCTTCTTACAGACCTCCAGGTTCTTTAGGACTTTCCTGGACCTTTCAGGATTTGGGTTTCTTAGGCCGGCGTGTGGCACCCGCATTCAGTTCAGTACCCTATCCTAAGTGTGTGTGTGTGTGTGTGTACCCCTTGGAGTCACAGGGATCCTTTCGGATTGTGTTTTTGTCCAGCAGGGGGCAGCAGGGAGTCCACAGTTCTGCTGCCAACGAAGACAGCTGCGGATATTTTGAAGCAGATTGGGACGCCAATCTGTGTAAGTGTACCTGCATTCCACAGTTGTGGTGCTTGTAACCACCTCCTCCTCTAGATGACTAGGCTGTTTCAGGTGACTTTGAGGTCGGCAGACTTTGCACGCACGCCGTCATCTTGTCATCGCGTTTCGGGACTTGAAGACCTTTGGAGGCCTTGAAATTTTGAACGATTTTAACGTACCTGAACCCTTGGTGGGTGTGTAGCATGTGGCATTCAGATCCGTACGCATGTCAATAAGTGTGTGTGCGTGCACCTACAAAAAAGAGCCCAAAACGCAAGGGTTACTAATCACGCCGGCAGCACACAGTACGCATGTCGTCCACACGTACGTTATTACCCCCCAAAGGACTGTATGAAAAATCAGCTTCACTACACGCGCGGCTTTAAGCCCATTAGCATAAACATGAGCAAATCTCATGTAACACGGATGGTCAGGATGGTCGAAGAATTGAACCCCGTTCACACTCGTGAGAGTATTCGCAAAATCATCAAATAATAGCTTGGAGAAGTCCGATCACAGGGCATTTACACATATCTTAACTATGTTGTGGCCGCCCAAAACGACACCTTGCCCTATCTCAGCTGAGCATCCGATTCTCTGCTTGCAAGCCTTGCACAATTTGCTCCAAAAGTGTTCATCCCTCCAAATATCTAAAGTGTCTTGAAAGGAGCAAGAAGCTACTAGTAACAAGTCGCTACTAGGAGCAAGGACGCTACTAGGGGCTCCTGGCCTTACTACTAGGAACAATAAGCTACTAGGAACAATCATCTCACCTGTCCTAGACGTCATGTTTAAGCCCGTTCTCAGCGCCTGGACCCGAATACTGCAGAACCGCAGAGCCTCGAAGGGCTTGAGATGTCAAGTGCTTGATTATTCCAAAAGGGAAAACAAATCAAAACAACGCAAAATAGTTCTTAGTCATGTGGGGAACCAAATCGGGACAAATCTGACAACATGCCATAGCAAATGGTAGGAGCTCGTGGCTGCACTCTGAAAATTGCCACAGGGCGGAGTCATCGGAGATCGCCCAGAAACGGCCGTTGCCGGATTCAAAGAAGCCGCTGTCCGAGCGCATTGGCCGCACTGTGGAAGCGACGGGACTATCCAAGACCCTGGTGCATGTGTGTGCGCAGCGTGCGCGGCGTGCGCAGCGTGCGCAGTGCAACCACCAGGTTCGACAAAGGTCGAAAAGGTTCGACAAGGGCTGCATTGGCCCTCTCCACTAACTCCTGCATGTGAACAGCAAGCGCCAATGCCCTGAGGTACGCAGCCAGTATTGGTGTGACCACTGCTGGTGCAACCAGTGTTGGTGACATAGGCACCAAGTGACGTGCTCCCGCTGCAAGGCTGTTGGCGTCCAGGCTCCTGCTGGAAATGCATTCCTCAACTCGGTCATGCATAAACAAACTCAAAGTATTTCCGCCAAAACCCCCGTCTGTCTCGGCATCGGTTTGGAATGGGGCCAAAGCAAACACTCCCCTGCTTGGAAATGGGTACATGCTTGCGGTGCAGAGGAAACGCCATCTGCCAAAGGTGACACCAACGGCCCCGCGCCCATTTGAGCAAAGAGTCCATGAACCAGATGGCAACTCCTTCAGAGCACTAATGCAAGTTGACTCAAAAAGTCATGTATCATGTATCTGTCTCGTCAGGCGCAAAACATACATTCTACATTCTCGTTTGCTGATATGTTTTCTCAGATTACGGGTACTCAGCTCAACCATAAAAATATGTGCTGAACTTAGAGAACTGGATGTCACACTGCCAAAGCAAAAACAACTGAACGGAAGTGAACAAAGGCAGAACCAAAGACGTTCAACATGAAACAACTGGTTACTCAACACCGACTGCCGTCGGGAAGTGGTATCGTTTGATCGTTTGAGGATTATATAGCTGCAGAATAAGTGGTTACTATGAAATGCATCAATAAAGAGAAACACTCGATTCACTCGATGGGCACTTAAAGATTCCAACATGAGCAATTATCGTTAGCAATGCGAGACAAATTGTTAAGAGAAAAACAATGTTCCTAAGGTTTGCGTTCAAGGCATCAAAGGACTGCACAGGTTAGAAGTCTTTGTGCGTGCTGACACGTCTGGATTCCTTGCAACCAGTTCAACTCCTGCAAAACTATGTTGCAGAACCTGGTGGAATTTCAGAGACGCTATCCGATTGGAGGCCATCGCCATTAAGTTGGAGGCCATACTACTCGGGTGGAGGCCATCGGTAGTAGGGTGGAGGCCATTGCTATTAGAGAAGCAGAAGTGAAGAAACGGAACCTTTGCACATGTGTTCTCTGCGAGCAGCCGTGACTACGCTGAAAATACTTTGAACGAACAAACTGAACTTCGTGAGCTGGCTGAAAGAATGGTTTGAGTTTGCCGCTGCAGCCTACGTACAGAACGTCCCTTTCAGAACTGGTTCCGCATAGATGGGAGATTTGTCTGTAAATCATGCGCAGTGTTGGCTTCATGTCAAGGCAAACCTTCTTTTCAAAGGGCGGCATGCATGTATTCTTCCTCCTTTAGGCCATTTGTTCCTTGGATCAGTTTCCTTGATGCAGCCCTCCGTAAAAATAGAATTCACATCCTAGATCTGTCAACCTTTCAAGGCGTCACACATCGCCATAGCTTTTCGCAACCGACTAAGTCTCTCTGCAGCTTCTGACACTATTTAAAACTCGCGACACAGGTGTTGAGATTGTCAACTCATGTAAAACCATCTCAAATTGTCCGGATTACTTTTCTTGTTCTTTCTTCTTGTTTTGAGGGGTAGGCCGGGGGTGGTAAGAAGTAGGGAAGCTAGTAACAAGGGAAGCTACGAGTACGGCCTGCAACACAGCAGTAGAGCTAGGAGTCAAAGAACCCTGGCTGTACGCACCGGTTCCTGGACCTGAAGGGAAATGAAGCGTCCTTGCTCCTAGTAGCGATGCCCTTTGTTCCTAGTAGCTTCTTGCTCCTAGTAGTAAGGCCAGGAGCCCCTAGTAGCGTCCTTTGCTCCTAGTAGCGATGCCCTTTGTTCC